GGAAGTCTGGGTTTCCCTGCTGAGGCTACTGCCCCCGCGACCCGACCTCGGATAAGCGGAAGTTAATGGATGGATGGATGGCACTGCTTGGGGGGGGGTCAGATTCTATCCTGGGGGCTACAGGCGCAAGGCAGGGAACAACCCAGGATGGGGCCACAGCCCATCGCACTACAAACAAAAATAAATGTATTAATTCAGTGTCCTTCGCTATTCTATAGAAAGACCTTTGCAGCTCCACAACAGTTATCTCCAGAGCACTGACAAAGGTCTGACGTCTGAGGGGTTGTTCATTAGGTTTAACATAATCCTTTTCTCTTTAGTGCCCCTGAGGAAAGACCGTCGGGGGAATATCCTCACACTTAAATGCAACCATCTCACAAACATTTTGACCAGGTACTCTATTTAAGACACAATAGCAAAGGTTGCAGCCTGGATTTGGGGTCTTGGTTCGCCTAATTGTTACAATATAAAAAGCACTTTTAATGTGGACTTTAACGTTCTTTCATTCCACCTTAATTTAGCTTTATGTAAGACGAAAAATTGAATAATTTCTATGGGATTCATTTGCCCAGAACATGCCAGAAGTAAATTTTGACACTCATGTTTGCAACAATTACCTGAATAGTAATGTACATAGTTGCTTTTTGATGATTAATTGAGTCTTATTGACTATTACGGAGGACAGTACGTGTACTTAAGTATAATTCATTTTCCGATTGAAAAAATTTGACTAGAAAAATCGTAAAAGGTAAATTGGAAAGTCTTTGTTTTGCGTCTATTGGTGTCTGTTTAAAGAAGTCAGAAAACGCCTTGTATTCCGTTTTACTGGAGGTGGGTTGGCTAATATAGGTGTATCAGCTGTTATTGGCCAGGCAGATCGCAAAGAACACTCCTCTTGCCTAACCGCTACAGAACAAGTTTCGATTCAACCCTAACTGCAGGGGTACCTGGGAGGTTCTGTCAAAGCTGTGTGTGAGAACTTATTTAAGTTGATTTTATTTGAGAATTGAAGTAGTGTGAACGAAAGATGAGATTTTAATCATATTTCAAAAAACTTTGCCTTGGCACTTGACCTTAAAACATTTAATTTGATTTAGCATATTTCTCATATAGCATATAACATTATGGCATTCGTTTTATGACTGTAATTGCCATTCATTCATTTAAAATTATTTTTTTATTCTTGTTTTATTCTTGAATATGAGAAAGGTGCCATATAAGTTGAATGTTTATTATTATTATTATTATTTTATTATCATTATCCCATACAAGGGATCAGTAAGCACACTAAGTCTTCACAGTAGTGGAAAAAAATGACTGCACCCTGTTTCAGCTATAACACTTTACCCTTGTGAGATGTATTGTATGTGTATATTCGGTTCGGTATATTGATTGATGTAGCAGGGGAATTCACTTTAACTGTTTGGGGCTAAGGCTGTTGGATCTGGAACCACCACAGGGCATCTGATTAAAGATGAGTACAGTTTATCCCTTTTGAAGGTACTTAAAGCACACTCTCAGAAAAACGGTACCTATTTATACCTTTTTTGTCACTGGGGCTATACCCTCAAGGGTCCACCAATTGTACCCTAGCTCTCAGTAATTGTACCTTTTAAAGTAGTGAAATGGACCCTGAGGAAAATTTTAGTATCATCCAGGGTATATTATTATTGTGTGTACCTTGGTGATATAGCTCTACGTACACAGCCCATCCTCCCCAACATTAATTTATCCCCAATGGTACAAAAATGTTCCTCAGAGTCCATTTCTGCTGCCCCAGTGACAAAAAAAGGTACAAATTGGTACCCTTTTCTGGGAGAGTGCCTGCAGTGCACTTAAATACTTTTTAAATACTTTAACTTACTTAATAAACTAAGTCATCCAAACTAAGTAGCCTAAATTAAGGACATAGTCCCCAGCAAACAGCAATACGTCCTTAGGCCCATCCTATAAAGGATGTCCTAAGGACCTATTATGGACTTTTTAAGGACATTCTCAGGACCAATTACAGACATTCTGAGAACATATCATGGACATCAAACCCACGCGAACCCCTGTTTATAAATTTTAGCAGTAATGCTGCACTCTCAGAAAAAGGGCAAAAATTTGTACCTGCTTTTCACTGGGGCTGTACCCTCAAGGGTCTGCCAATTGTACCCTTAGCTGTAGGTTTATTTTACAGGTACAGAAATGGACTCTGAGGAACATTTTTGTACCATTGGGGGTACATCCTCTGATCCATTTCTTCTTCATCAGCTTGGTGTTGCCTTCTTTCTGTGCAGTTGTTCTTGGAAGAAGGTCAGTTGATGATTAAAGTCGTGGACTCTCTCAGGTGGTTTTCCAGGGCTTTGATTTGACATTCTTGTGTGGGCTCTGGCTATCAGGGTTTCAGCCTGGTTGAGTCAGGCTTCAAGGTCCTCTCTGGTGGCTCTGGCTTGCTGCTCTCATTGGTCAGCAATAGCTCTGAGCTCACCTAGCTTTACACGGGTCTAAAGTTTCATCAAACGTTTGAAGTGAAATTACATCTGTTAGGGGAGCAGCAGCAGTTACATTACAAATTTGGTCATTGATTTATCAAAAGTATAATCTAAATTAAAAGCAATTATATATAAAGTTTTTTTGGTATTACATAGGCCTATTCCGTGTCAATTAAAAATGTAATCACGTTTATCATTTGGTATTGTCTATTTCAAAATAGCGATTAAACATCTGTTAATTAATTCATAGCGATAAAGTGTCTGGCAAGGATGGTTTCTCACATATTTTCTCCATTCTAGTGTACCAAAAACACTTAATGTATAATCGCTTTTAATTTAGGTCGGTTAAGCTTTTTATAAATCAAAGACTAAATTTGTACAGGGCCTTTAGCGATAACGGAGCGGTACAATATCCACGGATTATCCATTGTCATGTACGGAAAACCAGGTTGTAATGACTGTCATGTACCGCCAGCGGAGAAGAGTTCTGTACCATCGTCATCTGCCAATGGAATATCCACTGACACGTAGAGTAAATCACGTTGTAATGACTGTCATGTACCACAAGGGCTCTAGCAGGGCCGTGCAGAGACGTTTAAAGGGGCGGGTGCTTAAAGTTAAAAAAGATAGAACAGGCTGAATAACAACAACTCACATTCATGACGAATCTAATATGGAATTATGTGGATATCCATATTAGATCGTTTTTAGTGAAATAAAAGCCCTCCAGAAAAGAAGGGAAAAGTCCTGTAACTTACTTTAAAACAAAACATGTTCCCTAAAACGGTAGACAGAGCTACAGACCCCCTTGTAACACCCTTACTCAGTTAGCTAGCAGTTAATGACCACCACTACTGTCTTGTGCAGTTCATAAAAGGACAGGTAATGTATGTCGCGCTGTTGCACAAACAGCACGCTCATTAATTTCAATTCATTTGTTGTTATAGACTATAGTGTGCGCTGTACACCCTATTTACTGTTTTGTTGCAGTCTGCACCTTCCAATTAATTTGCCTGCTTCTTCTCCAGCTCCGCACCACCCAGCCTGCAGAAAATGCGCGTGCACTTTGCGAGCTCGTACCCAGCTTGTAACGAGCGCGCTCTGCCCTCAAGGGCGAGCATTGGTTAATGGCAGTCATGTGACTGATGCAAGCCAGATCCTTTTATTTAGCAAAATTGAGATTAATAGTTACATTTTATTGTTGAGGGGCAAAGACAGGGCTCCATACGCACATACACATTAAAAAAAAACAACCAAAAAAAAAACAAAACAAAAAAAAAAACCCAAGAAAAGGGCACTTGAGGCATCCTGGAGGAAAGGGGCGGGTGCTCAAGCACCCTCCGCCCCCCCCCTCTGCACGTGCCTGGGCCTGGTCATGCAGCGCATGCCACTGTCCCGTTCCACTACAAGACAGTCAAAGCGCTGTCACGTGTCACGGTGTTTACGTGCATATAACACCGCCATGTAATAACGTAACAGTACAGTACACTTGATGCTGTCTCACGGTCAATGCGTGAGACTTGAGAGCCATGTATATGGTAACATAACGCTTAATCTCATTCTGACAGGAATTTTAAATATTGACTTAACCGTTTTAATAGTGTAATAGTCTTTTTTTTCCCCGATTACAGATTTGTCAAATTTGGTTAGTTGGCTGGCGTAAGATTTTCAATTCGAGACAAGTCTGCACACACATGCACATTCATTTACATATATGTAATAGTTTTATTGCCTTGTTAACAGTCTGTAGGTTTTGCAAACTACCCCAGCGCTTATGATGTAGCTAATTTTAGGTTTATTTTATTAATGGAATAATATAGAATAATATAGATTTGCCGTAAGATGCTTGAGTGAGCGTGAGAGTTTGAAATTGTGAGTCTCACCCCAGACGCGTGAGTTGACAACCCTGATGATTATCATTAGAATTAAATGCTTTCGCCGCTTTTATTAACCCATCAGAGGCAAGCGAATATTCACCACAGGCAAGTAACCACAAAGGAATATTATTATCAAATGCAAAGTAAAACTGAGCACTCACGAGCCACATAGTTCTCTCATAGGACACAAAAGACGACCCTCCCCCACTGAGCACGGGCTGCCGGAAAACGATTTTTACATGGACCCTGTATGCATCGGTGCTTGATGTTTATAATTATTGTTCAATAAAAGTTAAGTAAAATGTGCAGTATATTTTCGTTTAAAAATGTAGTGATTATCTAATAACACTAGTTATATTAGGTCAGTGTACAGAAGTTTATCAGATTAAATTACACCATATTCAAAGGTACACTGGGGCGAAAGGCAGCCACCCTGTTCCAGGAACGGAAACGCCTGCACGAACGGATCGCCTCTCTTTTGTTAATCGTCTTCCATTAGTGAAGAAAGTTGTTCAGAAATATGAAAAATCCATACCAAATTGAGAAATCAGCAGAACTCCTACTGTGTAAACGCTTCGCCACGATGAAACTGACGAACTGAAAGGTAATTCTCTCTTTTTTGCGTACAGTTTAAGCGGGAACGAGATAAGTTTGTTTTTCATATTAAAGTTTTGTAATTTCATATCACACACTGAAAAGTTTTTCTGACAGTAATTGCATGTGCAATCATAAGTTAGGAAAGTATACCGTGACGCCGCGGGGCCGGATAGTAGAGACCTGAGCTACAGACATACGGCCTTGCGCCGCACTGTCATTGTAAATAATTAGTAAATTAATGTGTATAATCGTGCATTCATGTCGAAAAATAGTAGCTGTTATTGCATTGTTTTCTAAGTTCTCTGAACGTATTTCTGTGAACTGACGGCTTTTCTTTTACGTGGCTAGTTGTATTTGGTTGTGCACTAATAATGTGATTAATAAACGTGAAACTTACATGTTTTTATAAACCGCTGCCTTCTTTCTTTCACAATTTTTCTCGATTGCTTTGTAACATTTCATGAAACACTTAACATTCTCAAGACTGTAAGACCATTTCTCAAAACAGTTGATGCATATAACACAATTTGGTTTAACTGCAAATGTCTGTAACTTACCTAAAAGCTCATGTATCAAAAGCAAGTAATTCCAAACTGATTATATTTCTTTAGCAAATTAATTGGCTACTTCAGGTTAATGACATCAGTTTCAACATTGTAAGGCTCTATGTTACAGTAAGTAAAGTTTACTGGCAAGATAAAGCACTCGCATGCATGTGTAACTTGTTCAGATCTCAAGACACAGATATAGGCTAGCAAACAAAATTCACACAGCACTGTATAACACGAGATCGACAAAATCATGTGCTGTGAGAACCAAAAACACAACAATGCCGTATCATTGTAATGTTACCGTATGAAATATACTTTTAAATCATTTTGAAAGCTTGGTTAACGGTTTTGCTTGTGGTGGCTAACACGATTATCACATATATAGTTTTGGGTGTAAAATTATTACATTGGGAAGCTACATAATCTATTCTGATCAAAAAGACTAAAGCAACTGAAAACTGTGCCAGATGATGACAATTGTACAAAACCATTTGAATATGGTAAAGAAATTAGAAATGATTTTCTTCTTGCAGAAGGGTATATGGACGCCCGTTTCTGCCACCGTAGCAAAAATATATAATTTAAGTCGAAATTTCGTTATCTCAAAATAATGAGAACCTCGCAGTCACATGTGCGCGCGTTAAAATGACCGATTTGGATAAGTTAGCTTAATAGTTTGATGAATAGCTGTGGTATAGAAGCACTGCTGTACGTCGCTCTGGATAAGAGCGTCCGCTAAATCCCGAGTACTGGCTGATGGAAAGAATTTGCTGAATAGAGCTGTTTCTAGTTCTTCAGTGGTGACGTCTGTTTTTCCTGGGCGTCATTACATTATTTACTAAGTATTTGAACAAAATGAATATGAGTGAATATGGAATTTCATTTTCCAAGTCATTATTTTGAGACACTGAGTCGTTATTTTGAGATACTACGTCATTATTTAGAGATAACTAAGTCATTATTTAGACTTATTATAAATATTTTTTACCATGCTGGCCGAAACGCGCTTCCATACAGAAGTGATATTATGGGGTGGGGATTACACTTGTTTTACAAATGTTAATTGTCATTTGAGAAATGGCCCACCGCAATCGAAAAAACTATAAAAAATAAAACAGGGTATTCTAAACCAGTAATTTAAACATTGTCTACACTATGGATTTGGTAAAGGCTTTGACTTTGCTTTGCACTAATAATCTTGCAGGTACTTAAAAATGGGGAAGAAGAATTGCACTGGTTGTTTCTCATTTTGCCGTCATGGAAAATCACACAGTGTAAGTTGAACTTTGACCTTGTATTTCCTGTGTTTATCGTAAAACTGTGCTGTCTGCTTTTATGGTTTCTGTACAAGGAATGTTGTGTTTATTAGATCCACCTGTTTCCTGTTTCCCTGTGCTTCATGATTGTTCTCATCTGTCCTGCATTGTCTTGTTAGCCTTGTGTATTTAAGTACCTGCTCTGCCCTGTTCTGGGGTCAGTCATTGTATGTTGATCAGTTAAGGTTACTCTGTGCATTGTCGCTGTTAGATGTTACTCTGCCTGGTCTCCCACTGAACTCCTGTTGTCTCTTGGAGCTGCAAGTGGATCGTCGCTGCCTTCCTTTCTCTGCCTCCACCATGCCCCCCGTCCATGAAAATTATAGTACATTAAAAAATACTTGTAATCATATATTTTACTTTTTAAGAATTACTATTTTAAAGATTTCTAATTCATCCATTTTCTGAAACTGCTTGGGGGGGTCAGATCCTATCCTTGGGGGCTACAGGTGCAAGGCAGGGAACAACCCAGGATGGGGCCACAGCCCATCGCACTACAAACAAAAATAAATCTATTAATTGTGTCCTTAACTATTCTGTAAAAAGAACTGTTGTGGAGGTGCAAAGGTATCTCGAGAGCATTGACAAAGATCTTAGATATCAGAGAGGTTGTTCATTAGGTTTAACATAATCCTTTATTCTTTAGTGCCCCTGAGGAAAGACCGTCGGGGGAATATCCTCACACCTAAACACAACCATCTCACAAACATTTTGACCAGGTACTCTGTCAAGGCAAAGTTTGCAGCCTGGATTTGGGGTCTTGGATGGCCTAATTGTTACAATATAAAAAGCACTTTTAATGTGGACTTTAACGTTCTTTCATTACACCTTAATTTAGCTTTATGTAAGATGAAAAACTTAATAGTTACTATGGGATTCATTTGCCCAGAACATGCCAGAAGTAAGCTTTGACACTCACATTTGCAACAATTACCTGAATAGTAATGTACATATATAGTTGCTTTTTGACGATTAATTGAGTCTTATTGACTCCTAATGCGGAAGACGGTCCGTGCACATATAAGTATAATTCGTTTTCTGGATTTATACGGAAAAAAACAGAAACGAAAAAATTTGACTAGACAAATCGTTAAAGGTAAATTGGAAAACTTTGTTTTGCGTTTATTCGTGTCTGTTTAAAGAAGTCAGAAAACGCCTCGTATTCCGACTGACTGGAGGTGGGTTGGCTTATAGGTGTACCAGCTGTTATTGGCCAGGCAGATCGCAAAGAACACTCCTCCCGCCTAACCGCTACAGAACAAGTTTCGAGTCAATCCTTACTGCAGGGGTACCTGAGAGGTTCTGTCAACGCTGTGTGTGAGAACTTAAGTTGACTTATTTTATTTGATAATTAAAGCAGCTGGAACCAAAGATGACTTAAAAAACTTTGTCTTGGCACTTGACCATAAAACATTTAATTTGATGTAGCATATTTCTCATATAGCATATAACATCATCTCATTGATTCGATGACTATAATTTCCATTAATTTATTTTTTAAATTAGCCTAATCTTTTATTCTTGTCCTTGCAATCAAAGCGATCATTAATATGAGAAAGGTGCCATATAAATTGAACATTTATTATTTTTATTATTCTTATTATTATTCTTCTTATTATTTTATTATTATACATTTTTAAGGATTTTTTATACGCTGTACCAGTGGTGTTTAGTTTTTATTGATTGCTTTGGCACATTTCATGAAACACACTCAACATTCTCAAGACTATAAGAGGATTTCTCAAAGCAATTCATGCAAAAGCCTGTAACTTACCCAAAACAATTAACTCATGTCTCAAAAGCAAATCATTCCACCAATGAATTAGTCAGGTCCACCAAAATGAAAAGTGCAGTAAGCACTGCTGATTTTCCAGCCTCCCTTTATCTGTGAGTCAGGTGTGAAGCCTCCAGCCAATCAGAATCAGTAATTATTAAACTAACTCCCTGGGAGAACTGAAAACAAGGCCATTTGGAAAGCAGATGCATATTAGGTTTTTCACAAAATAAAATATGATGTAACATTAGCACTTTTATATAGCACCTTTCAAGGTACTCAAATCGCTTTACAGAAACAATGGGGAGCCATTTCAACCACTACCACTGTTCAGCACCCTCCTGGATGATGTGATGGCAGCCATTCTGCACCAGTACGCTCACCACACTGTAGCTAAGGTGATGAACGGGGCAAGAGAGGATTCACCAGTTAGATACAGGGGATGATTAGGAGGCCTGATTTGATAGGGCCACAGTGGGCAATTTAGCCAGGGAGTCAGGGCACCACCCACTACTCTTTCAAAGGATGCTCAGGGAATTTTTATGATATGAGAGAGTCAGGACCTTTGGACATTGTTTACAAGTTTTACATCTTGTCCGAAAGGCGGCACCATTTCTTCAGCACAGTGTCCCCGTCACTGCACTGGGGCACTGGGATCCACAATGACCACAGGATGGGCTAACCTATTGGTCACAGTGTCCCCGTCACTGCACTGGGGCACTGGGATACACACAGACCACAGGATGGGCTAACCTATTGGTCACAGTGTCCCTGTCACTGCACTGGGGCACTGGGATCCATACTGACCAGAGGATGGGCTAATCTATTGGTCACACCAACACATCTTCCAGCAGCAACCCAGCTTTCCTTCTTGTTTGAGAGAAATATCATTAAAAAAGAGTGTTGGTGGACATAGTGGAGTGAAACCTTGAATCACATTCAAAATAAATTATTTTTTGGCAGTGTAACCAAATTGTTTTTATTATATTACCAGTTTTTGTCATCACTGCAGAATACATACAAGAGAAACAAAATCACAACAGCCTGTGTAGGGGCTGCAAACACATGTTCTCCTGGACACAGGGGGTCTTTGGATAAAAAAGGTTGATAATCACTGTTCTATGGTTAAACATTCCTGGAAGTAGTTAATGGAGAAAATCAGACCGTCTGAGTGTAATGCTTGGATTTTTTATTAGGCTTTTGCGGTTTTTGAGAGATACTAGCCTTGTTTACAAATTGCTTGCTTCCATCTCAACTATAGGATCCAGCCCCCCCACCAGGATCAACTTGGGCACCCTCATCATCAGCTGGTCCTACTGAGATCGGAAGAGATGAGGAAGATCCCCCATCTTCAAAGGAGACCCCTGTACCCATCGGCCCCGAGGAACCAGATGCCCATCAGGCACAGCAGTGTCCTGATCCTGGACCACAAACACATGGTATGTGTGCCATGCCTGGCAGAACATGCCGGAACAGGAAAACCTTCTGCTTGACCGGCTCTGTATTATCAAGTCATGTGACTCCACAGTGATGAAATATAAGCATGGCTGAGTGATTGGGATTGAAGTTTGATATGAATTACTCTGTCCCTTTTCCCAGGGATGTCCTGTGATGGGAGTAGAGATGCCCAAAATGGTGGGGTGCAGTTCTCCATCTCTGCCCAGTCCCAAAGCAATGTGGTGTCTAATGTTATGAACAACTGTAACGTCAACTCTGTAAATATCCATGCCACATTTGGAACGAATGCAAACCCAAACTCAGCTGACAAAGGTGAGTAACATCTGTGCAATTTCACATCAGTGTTTTTTTTTTTTAATCTAGAGACAGCCCTGGGGATTTTTTTGTTGTTATAATATACATTGTTGGCTTTAAGATTGATTTAATACGGAGTCCTGGAAGGAACATGGAGGAAAAATAAATGGTGGTTGATGAAAAAAACATGCCTATGTCCCTTTCGGGACTCTGAAACTTGAGGATTTACCTGATTCAGTTTGAACTTATTTTTAAACTCCTCCTACATTATTGTAAATGGCACAAAAAAGAGTGTCAGATGGGTAACCAAAAAGGGTAAAAATAAAGAAATACATAAATGAGATACCCAGACAAAGCTGAAATCAATCATATTTGCAGGTAAATTTTGAAAACTTTAAACATTTGACATAAAGATCAGTACTTCTATCAGACTAATTAAAACTGTTTAAACATAATAAATGTACAGCACTGCTGTATGAAAATACTAACCAGCCATACCATAGAAGCCTAAAGGATCATATTTGTTTGAATAATGTAACCTGTATTTAAATCTAATCAGGTGTTTCTCTGGAGGAAATACGCAACAAAATAAAATCCATGCTGAAGACGAAGTACGAATGCATATTTGAAGGGATACCTAAGCGGGGGAATCCATCCAGTCTGGTCAGCATCTACACAGAGCTCTACATCACAAAGGGAGAAAGCGAGCAGGTTAATGCAGAGCATGAAGTGTGGCATGTGGAGACAGCGGCCAAGAAGACAGACACAGAGGAGATCACTGTGAAGTGCAGTGACATTTTTAAACCTTTACCCGGCCAAGAAACGCCAGTGAAGACTGTGTTGACCAAAGGGATCGCAGGCATTGGGAAAACCGTCTCAATACAGAAGTTCATTCTTGACTGGGCAGAAGGACGGTCAAACACCGACATCACGTTCGTTTTTCCTCTTCCTTTTCGACAGCTGAATCATTTTCATGACAAAGAATTTAGCCTGATGGGTTTAATTAACCATTTCTTTCCCCCAATGGCTGACATTGAAAATATTGAGGACTACAAAGTTTTGTTCATCTTCGATGGTCTGGATGAGTGTCGTTTGCCTTTAAATGATAATTGTCAGTGCTGGTGTAGTGCAAAAGAGTCGGTCTCACTGAATATCTTGTTAATGAATCTCATTCAAGGAAATCTGTTTCGTCCTGCTCTGCTCTGGATAACCTCTCGACCAGCAGCAGTCAATCAGATCCCTCCCCAATACATCCAGACGATGACAGAAATAAGAGGGTTCAATGACCCACAGAAAGATGAATACTTTAGGAAGAAATTTTCAAATGATAAGAATCTGGCTGATAGAATAATCAGCCATGTGAGATCGTGTAGAAGCCTCTATATCATGTGCCACATGCCTGTCTTCTGCTGGATTTCAGCCACCGTCCTTGGAAAAATGTTGATTAAAGAAGATAGCCAGGAAACGCCTAAAACACTGACTCAAATGTACACTAATTTATTGCTGATTCAGACAAAAATAAAGAATCAGAAATATAGCCAGGAATGTTTGGTCAATAAAAATAAAATTTCAGAGTTAGATAAAAAAATGATCATCAGTTTGGGCCAGTTGGCTTTTCAACAGCTGATAAAAGGCAATATAATTTTTTATGAAGAAGATTTAAGAGAATGTGACATTGATGCCAAGGCAGCATCAATGTACTCTGGTATGTTCACAGAAATTTTCAAAGAGGAGTTTGAATTCGATGAGCAAACAGTTTACTGCTTTGTCCATCTGAGCATTCAGGAGTACCTTGCTGCTTTGTTCGTACATTTTCGGTACATAAACACTGGTGAAAATTCTTTAAATCCCAGCATTTCAAAGGACAGTAACTTACATCAGCTGCATAAGAGTGCAGTGAGTATGGCTTTGGAGAGTAAGAATGGACACTTTGATCTTTTCCTCCGTTTTCTGCTGGGGATCTCGCTGGAATCCAATCAGAAGATCCTGCCATGTCTGCTGGGTGGGAACAGTGGCAATTTACAGTCTTGTGAGAAAACAATCAAATACATCAAGAAAGAGCTTGAAAAGAACCCCTCCGCAGAAAGAGCCATCAACCTCTTTCACTGTCTAAATGAGCTGAATGACACTACCCTGGTGGAGGAAATCCAGAATTATCTACGTTCAGGTTCCCCCATGGACACTGAGCTGTCCCCAGACCAGTGTTCAGCACTGGCCTACGTCCTGCTGATGTCCACGGACGTGTTGGAGGACTTTGACCTTTCTGCATACAACAGCACAGCAGCGGGGCGGAGACGACTACTGCCTGTCCTCAAGTTCTGCAAAAGAGCCTGGTAAGTCACCACAGCAACACCGAGCTTGTTGGTATGTTTTACATTATGTCTTGGTAGGAAAACTTATGGCAGGTATAATATTCATTTTTAGGTCTAGTTTTCACTAGGAAATGTACCTCCAGGGCTGTCCAGCAATAGATATGTGACTTACAAATATCCCAGAGTCCTACTTGGCAGTATGTCAACCAAAATACTTATTATTCTGTCAAGACCTTTTCTGATATCAAGAAAGGACAACAAAAACTAACTACAGACGCTCCTCTACTTACGAATGAGATACGTTCCGAACGGCCGTGTATAAATTGAAATGTTCATAAGTCATTATTCAACATCATTTTAAGGGTATACGCAAGTACAAAGAACTAGGATGCTGGGAGTATGGACGCTACGCTGCTGCGCAGCAGGAGTAGCAGCTAGAAGTCATACTACCTGGAATTGGCGCGCAGAAAAAAAAATTGATGTTGCGGACAGGAAACGGGAGCCCAATGAACACAACTTTCGTTCGTATGTCTGAAAGTTCGTAAGTTGAAAGTTCGTAAGTAGAGGAGCGTCTGTACTTGTAATTTTCACCAAAAATCTTCACAAAAGAGTGATACTTGAGACAAAACACTCACAAAATAGCACTGATTGAAAATACAAGACTTGGTGTATGGAATATGGAGCAGTCTGTAGAACAGAGTGATTTGTAGATAGCATAGCAAGGAATGCTTTTTTGTAACGCTAACATTTTTAGGGATGAGAGAATATATCGAAGCTTTATCGCGGTACAAAAATGCAACTATTCATATTGTGTGGTCTGGCGATATACATCATGCAGTCTGTACAATCATTGTAGTTAAAAAGAAAACCTTTACTAAGGTTTTTTCCATTGTCTTGTGCAGAGTAACAGTTTTGCTTTTTGATTGTAATTTTTGGTTATTATTTGGTTATTATTATGACAAATTGTTTACATTTAAAAAGGTTTATGTGCCTATTATATAATATTATTTATTATTTACCTTTCTTTTAATATGTTGTATTGAATCATATTGAGAAAAAGCATATCGTCCCATCCCTACACTCTCTCCTTCTCAGCCTGCACCACTGTAACATGACAAAGTTCCTGATGGAACCAGTGATCCAGGTGCTCCAATCACCCAACTCACTCCTGACTCATCTGGACCTCAGCTACAATAAGCTGGGGGAAACAGGGGTAAAGCTGCTCTGCGATTCATTAAAGGCCTCATCAACCCTGCAGGTGTTGGGGTGAGGACACTGTGAATTCCCTGAGCTGATTCAGTATACCTCTATGCAGAACTAAACACAACTTTCACATATTTTAAAATTCACATGTTAAAAGTCTCTCGTTCTGCTTGTCTGCCTGCCTCTTATATCTGCCTGTTTTTCTGGTTGTTATATCTTTTGTTGTTTTTATGGTGATTCTCCATTGCAGTCTGGGAGACTGTAACCTGACCGGAAGCTGTTGTGAGGGCCTGGCCTCTCTCCTCATACATCCCCTCCTCACGCTGAAGGAGCTGCAGCTCAGAGGGAATGACCTGGGGGACTCTGGGGTGGAGCTCCTCTGCAGGGCTCTTCAGGAACCCAGCTGCCAACTTCAGCGACTGCGGTAGGAAATGACTAATGACCCTGCATGACATGATGGCTGGTTTTTATAACATAAACCATTTGCTTTCTTTTACCTGTGAGTGAAAATTAAGCATTAATTGTGAATATTTTATTCATCTTGTTACACAATTGATAAAGGACTACAGTATCACTACAAATTTAGGGTAGATGTAGGGTAAATATTTGAGGTGATGTTTTATATTTTATATTTTATATTTTTTGCATCCGCTGGAAACAAATTTTGGATTGTTTGGATTGTTCTATATAGTAATGTATTTGCTGAAGAATCAACCATTTTCCCTATTAGATATTTAAACACCATTGTTTACAGATTACTATTTGCACATATATTGCAGCCACAGTCTCCATCTGTTTACTGTTGCTAACACCTTGTGCTGCTGTTTCTGTAGACTTTCAGGCTGTCGAGTCACTGAGAAAGGCTGTGCTTCTCTGGCTTCAGCTCTACAATCAAACCCCTTGTACCTGACAGAGCTGGATCTGAGCTACAATCACCCAGGAGACTTAGGACTGGAACTGCTCTCTGCTGCACAGAAAGTCTCCAAATTGGAGACACTGATGTGAGTATTGGTAGTATGAACATTTCTTCAGTGAACTCCATCAGGCTTCCTGAGATGTTAGAATGAAGTGATTTATTGGATCCCACACTCACTGGATTCTTTTGTGTTTCCTACAGTGTAGACCATTGTGGCCCATGCAGAGATAAACCAGGGCTCCCCAAATGTATGTATTCAATTAACAGGTGAAGAATTAATGGAAAATTCTTCTGAAAACTTACTTGTCTATCACTGCAGTGTTTTTGGTTTGCAGTTGATCAAAATGTTTGTCCATGCTAAACTACAGCTACCATACAGCACATTTAAACTGCTACAAAGAAAACCCCGACAAGTTCATTTCACCAGTGCGGTATGGTGTTACTGAGGCTAGCATGATTGCTTCCCACCGGAGACCCACCTTGTTCCTGTGTGTGGAGTTTGCATGTTCTCCCCATGCTGTCATGGGGTTCCCTAGGGGTATTCCAGTTTCCCTACCACAGTGCAAAAACATACCAATGTGAATAGTAGTTGCCAAAGTGCCCCTTTGTGTCGAATGATGAGTGTGGCCTGTGATGGGTTGGTGGCCCTTCCTGGGTTATTCCCAACCTTGCGCCCATTGTTTCCAGGATGGGCTTCTGTCCCCTACAACCTATATAGGGCAAGCAGTGTAGAAAATGAACGCATCTTGTGTGTGTGTCTTGTGTGATAAATGTGTGTTCAGCTCTGGAAAAAATTAAGAGACCACAGCACAAGGACTCCAAAAAGGGTGGGTATTCTGAACTGCCACTTGGTGCATAAGTGCAAACAACAGTCAGGACCCGTCCCCCCACCAGAAGGCGAAGAGAGGCTACCCTCTCGTCCACTGCGGTAAACCCCAATGTACAGGCGCCCAGCCAGGGGGCAATAAGTATGCCCACCCCAGCTCGGCGCCTCTCCCCGCAGGCAACTCCAGAGTGGAAGAGGGTCCAACCCCCCTCAAGGAGACTGGTTCCAGAGCCCAAGCCATGCGTCAAGGTGAGTCCGACTATATCTAGTCGGAACTTCACAACCTCTCACATCAGCTCAGGCTCCTTCCCCATCTGAGAAGTAACATTCCATCTCCCTAGAGCTAGCTTCTGCAGCCGAGAATCGGACCGCCAAGGTCCCCACCTTCGGCCACTGCCCAACTCACACTGCACCCAACACCTATGGCCCCTCCTACAGGTGGTGAGCCCATTGGAGGGGGGACCCACTTGCCTTCTTTGGGCTGTGCCCAACCAGGCCCCATGGGTGCAAGCCTGGCCACCAGGCGCTCGCCATCGAGCCCCACCCCCAGGCCTGGCTCCGGGGGGGCGGTGACCCAGGACCAGGCGAGGGAAAACGTGTATCCATGTTGTTTCTCATCATTAGGGGTCTTGTGAGCCGCACTTCGCCTCGTTCCTCACCCAGGACCTGTTTGCCTTGGATGACCCTACCAGGGG